AGCCCGTGGAGTCACCACGTGGGAGTCTTTCTCTGTCCAGGAAACGCAGCCCACGAGGGGTTGAGTCCTCCTCGTGAGCCACACGGCCGGCAGTTTCTACTCTGGTCCTGTCTGACAGCACTGCTCTCACACAAGGGGCAAGTGTTCTGGTGGCAACAGCTCAGCCCGGTGGTGACAGGGCTATTCTGACCCCACCCGCCAGGCCGCTTCCGGTGTCCCTGGACGCAGGGTAGCTCTCGGGAGTAGCCCCATCTGCAGCAGGCAGGGACCCCAGCATTGATCTCAGGGCCTGTCTGTGCCCGGGGCAGGAGAGGCTTTTCCTACCCACGGGGTCCTGGTGGCCCGAGCAGAGGCACAGAGGATCAAGCAGCAGCCGCACTGCCACCCAGGCAGCACAGGACTCAGCACTGCCTCCTGCAGCTGCCCCTGCAGGCCGGGGCGAGGGAGAGACCTTCCTGTCAGCCACAGAACCCCCTTCAAGGTCCCCGGCCAGCTCCACTTTGCTGCGGTCACTGTGCCCCGGGCTCAGGAGGAGCCCAGTGCACAGGGGGGTCCAATGCTTCCGCGGGTAAACACCCCTACGGGGATGGCTCACCATCGGCACCCCTGCAAGGACCTTACCTGCACCAAGGTCACCGAGGTCCGCAAAGGGGTCCCGGTTCTGTGACTTGGTCCGGCTGGTGGAGGGGCCAGGTGGGGCTGCTGCCGGACCTCCAGATGACAAGAGGGGACCTGGAGGGGACAGAGGGTATGAAGAGGGTGGGCCTCCCGTGAGGGCCGCTGCTGTTCCTTCAGGAACCTTCCTTCTTACCCTTGAGGCACTCACCTGTGCCCAATGCTGCCAGCCCAGCTTTTGGCTCTGGCCACCTTTGGGTCTTGCAAAATCAGCTTCCCACTAACATGGCAGTGGCTGAGAGCCACCTCCAGGGACACTCCCAGGAGGGCAGGCCCGTTGGGATCACCCAACCACCAGGTGATTACCGAACCACCAACCACCGGTGCCAGGGACCCAAAATAAACGTGCCCCCTGGCTCTGCCACCCCAGAGCCCCTCCCCCTGGGGCCTAATTGACACATGGGTGCTAACGCTCACTCCCCAGGCTCAGGGGACCACCCTGCCGGGCCACAGGGAGGACAAGGCTCAGCCCCAGACAGAGGGTTGCTCTCCACACGGAAAGAACTCTCACCGACCAAGGGGTCGAGGGGGGGCAGACAAGGTCAAAGGAAAAGCCAAAATACCCCGAGGTACACAAAGCTGACCACAGACCCACCCAGGGTAGAAATCCTAGTGGCCCATCCTCCAGCCTCTACAGTGGCAGGGGCCAGGTGCTGCGTGGGCGAGGGGCTCGCTAAATAAAACACACCCAGAGGGCGAGAGCCTGGTGCCGGCAAAGGGCGGAGAAGGTGCCCGACTGCCAGGAGGGCACGGGGCTCCGTCTGGGGCCCTCAGAGGCCGGGATGGCAAGACTTGATCTCACGGACTCTGGATGTGTCACCAGGAGAGACCAGTCCCTGGACAGGGACATCACACTGGGTAAAGCAGAGGGGCGTCTCGAGGGGAAGGCCAGGAGTGAAATGGATGGGCACTGCGGCTACATCGAGACATGAGTGCCGCTGTGGGCCGGTGCAGGCCCGGGGGTGCGGGAAGGTGGGTTGTGCACAGGCTCGCTATGGGCTGGAACCGCCCCGAAGACATCTAACAGTGACAGCGGAGCCTGGGTGTGCACCAGCCCGCAGACACAGCAATGCCGCAGCAGGTGGACAGACAGGGGCCCACAGATGCGACAGGAGGCTGCCTGCAAAGGGCCCTCCAGGAACCAGAACAGGGACACGGGCAGTCAACTGACAGTCGGGACCAGAGACGTCAACCGCAGCCCTGGCGAAGGACAGGGACACGCTGTCCCCCCGGCAATGCTTCATCCAGGTGCGTCCATGTGGGCTGCAGCTGTCCTGCTGCAGTACACGGTGCCCCCCACCCAGGAGCCCTCGAGCCCCCTACCGTCGGCGGCAGGCATGGGGGCCCACGTGTCCCATCCTCGCAGGAGGTCCGGGTGGCTGGAGGAGGCGGCCATCCTACTAGGCTCCGTGGGGAGGTCTCCTGGGAGAAGTGCAGAGCAGTATGCTTAGTCCGCGTGCACTTGGGCACCCGTGGCGGGAGGCTGGTTCCAGCAATCTCCCCTCCCGTGTGAGCTGGCAGGAGGGAGCCAGGCTGCAGGAGGGTGGCCCAGAGTGCAGCCCTCCATAGGCAGTTGTGCTCAGCCCCTCACCCCCCGACCAAGCCCAGCAAGGGTGGCCAGGAAGGGCATGCAGTGAGCACTGCAATGCCTCCTGGCTTCTGGGAGGGAGGACCCGGGCCTCCTGCCCCCATCCTGCCGGGTGCACAGGGCCTGCTACAGCCCACAGCCCCACCTCTGTGATCCCTGGCCTGACTGCCAGGACTTGTTCAAAGACACACTCGTCTCTCCTGTACCCGCCCAGGGCACTCTAGCCCCTCCACCCACAGGTGCCTACCAAGTCTCGAATGGATACACCTGGCTGTCCTTGCCCACAGCTGGGCACAGCATGGAGGCTGTCCCCACATCCCCCGGCCCGGGCTCACCGCAAGCCCTAGCCCCATGGCTGCTACAGCACTCTGCCTCCACACACACAAATGGCCCCTCTACGCGTGGTCCCTGCTTGCCCTCTGTGGTGTGGCTGGCATGACATGGCGTGGCTCCTCCCTCACCCAGCACGTGGGACCACTGGGTAGAGGGTGGAGCGGGGATTCAGACATGCCCCAGCCGCACCTCTTCCCCGTTGCCCTGCGGTGGGAGGGGCAGGCATGGCCCCATTGCTGACCCCACCTTGCAGGAGTCAGCCCTCTAGCACATGGGCCAGCGGTAGGGGGGGTCCTGCTCTACCAGAGGCGATGCATTCCCAGCTCCCCCACGCAGCCCCGGCCCGGCACTGAGAGACCAGGGGCTCACCGAGGTGCAGGAAGTCCGTGCTGGAGGACAGGGGCGGGGCGCTGTGGGTGGCCGGCGGCACCGGCTTGGGGTCAGGATGCAGGAACTCGCCAAAGAGATCGGGGTCGGCACAGGCCTGGGATTCGGACTCGGCTGGCACCAGGAAGGGGTCAAATGGGTCAGCTAGGGACGAGACAAGAAAGGCCCGGGGTCATCAGAGGGGGGCTTCTTTCAGCGTGAGCAGGGGTCTCTGACGCACGCTGGCGAGGCGGCCTCAGCTGACGCCTGGAGGCCTGACCGAGCCTGCCTCTCAGGCTGGAGGGACTGG